AGCGGGCCTAAGCTATTAGTCGGATATCCTTAGTGCTGACAAGGAGGCAGGAGAGGCTCCTGACACCACCACTGTGCTTACAGCCTTCAGCCTGGCTTGTGGCTTAGTGGAGCTCCCCCTGTGGGAGCGCACAGAGCACTAGGGGGCAGCTCCTGCATTAAGCGTCTGCCCCCTGGTGGTCAGTGCACATCATAGCAACTGGTCGTTCCCACATTAGGGTCAATTTGCATATTATCCTTTTATTATATAGAATAGAGGCCCGGTGCACAAAAATCTGTGCACTCGGGGAGGGTCCCTCAGCCCGCCTGTGCCCTCTCACAGTCTGGGACCCCTCAGGGGATGACCACCTGCTGGTTTAGGCCCGCTCCCCGGCAGTCAGACATCCCTCCGGCCGCCCGGGAGCCCTCTGGGGATTTGCATATTACCCTTTTATTAGAATAGATCATGGTCTGGTGCATGGGTAGGGGCCAGCGGGTTTGCCCCAAAGGGGGCCTCAGGCCAGGGTGGGGGTCCCGCTGGGGTGCTTGGCCAGCCTTGGTGAGGGGCTGATGGCTGTTTTCAGGCTACCTGAACCCCCTTCAGGGTGGGGGTCCCCACTGGGGTGCCTGGCCAGCCTGGGTGAGGGGCTGAGTGCCGTTTTCAGACTGACCAAGCCCCCTGGCGACTGAAGCTCCAGCCTTTCCTTTTTTTGTTTTGTTTTTTTATTTGCTCCAGCTCCGTGGCAATGGCAACTGGAAGCAGGTATCTGGGGTTTATTTACCTTCTATATTCTTCCATCGCAGGGGCAAGCAAGCCTCCTGCTTGCTCCAGCTCTGTGGCCACGGCCTGCTGAAAGCACATATCTGGGGTTTATTTACCTTCTATAATTGAAACTTTGTTGCTTTGTGTGTAGCTCAGAGCCGGGCTGCTCGCTCCAGCTCCATGGCTGCCGGCCGCCATCTTTGTTGGCAGTTAATAGGAGGCAGCAGGCGCTTCCCCCGCGAAGGCCAGCGGACAGGAGAATGGCCATGTGAAAAGCATGGAGACTTGTCCCCCAGGGTGAAGGGGAGTCGTCCCCTGTGAACGAACAGAGGAGGCAGCCGCGGCCACTGGTGATGCCATTGAGCCAGCACCCGCTAGCCAGGGAGCTGAGGCCAAGGGGGAGGTACCCCCCAAGGAGACCCCCAAGAAGAAGAAGAAATTCTCTTTCAAGAAGCCTTTCAAATTGAGTGGCCTCTCCTTCAAGAGAAATCGCAAGGAGGGTGGGGGTGAATCGTCTGCCTCCTCACCCACAGAGGAAGAGCAGGAGCAGGGGGAGATCGGTGCCTGCAGCGAGGAAGGCACTGCCCAGGAAGGGAAGGCTGTCGCCACCCCCGAGAGCCAGGAGCCCCAGGCCAAGGGGGCAGAGGCTAGCGCTGCCTCCAAGGGCGGAGACACAGAAGAGGAGGCAGGGCCCCAGGCTGCAGAGCTGTCCACGCCCTCGGGGCCAGAGAGTGGCCCTACACCTGCCCGCGAGCAGAATGAGTAGCTGGGTTGGGACAGGTGGGTGATCTCTAAGCTGCAAAAACTGTGCTGTCCTTGTGAGGTCACTGCCTGGACCTGGTGCCCTGGCTGCCTTCCTGTGCCCAGAAAGGAAGGGGCTGCTGCCCCCTCCCAGCCACGTTCCCTTTCCTCCTTTCCCTCCTGTGGATTCTCCCATCACCCACCTGGTCTTCCTCTTAAGGCCAGTTGAAGATGGTTTCCCAAGTTAGGTTAGTGATGTGAAATGCTCCTGCCCCTGTCCCTACCTCTTTCCCCGTCCCCACCCCTACATAAGGCAATTGCTGTTTTCCTCCCCAATTCTTTTCCAAGTAGGTTTTGTTTACTCCCCAAATCCCTGAGCCAGATGTGGGGTGCCTACACTCCTAACCCCTGAGTGTCCAGCCTTCCCTGTTTTCAGTCTCCTGCTGAGCCTAGTGGCACCTGGGCTAGGGGAGGACACTGCCCTGTCCAGGTTTTTATAAATGTCTTACTCAAGTTCAAACCTCCAGCTTGCGAATCAACTGTGTCTCTTTTTTGACTTGGTAAGCAAGCATTAGGCTTTGGGGTGGGGGAGGTCTGTAATGTGAAACAACTTCTTTTCTTTCCCCTGCCATTGTTGTAAATAACTTTTAATGGCCAAACCCCAGATTTGTACTTTTTTTTTGTCTAACTTCTAAAACCATTCTCTTCCACCTGGTTTTACTGTAACATTTGGAAAAGGAATAAATGTTGTCCCTTTAAAAAAAATTAAATTGTATAATCTTAAAAGTGAATAAATTACATTGAAACCAAAGGAAATACATTCTCTAAATTCATCACTCCTCAATTATTTACTACACTTTACTGTTCTGACTCTTGACATTATTTATATCTTTTGGGTCTTTCTGGTAGAATATAATAGTGTATTACTGGATGTTTCTCTTCAGCTCTGCACTTAGTGGCATCACATTAGCCTTGGATGGAGAATTTATGCCACAGAAATTGGCCGATATTA